CCACACACCCACACACCCACACACCCACACACCCACACACACACACAGACACACACACACAGACACACACACAGACACACACACAGACACACACACACACACACCCACACACCCACACACCCACACACCCACACACCCACACACCCACACACCCACACACCCACACACCCACACACCCACACACCCACACACCCACACGCACACACACACACACTCACTCACACGCACACACAGAGAAACACACACACACACAGAGAAACACACACACAGAGAAACACACACACACACAGAGAAACACACACACACACAAACACTGCACACACACACACACACATGCGCCCTGCAACACACAAAGAACAAAAACAATACACACGTGACACAACCCCCACACACACACGTGCCTAGAGAACACTCACAGAAACACACACCTCACACACACACACCCACCGCACACACAACACGCAACGCACCACGCACCGCACCACACACACACACAGGGTCAGTAGGTCACGGCACTCGGGGCATGTGGACCAACTCAAACATGCAACTGTACACGATGTGAGCTTCTTGTGGCTGGCACTACTGGGCACTTCGAGCTTGGCTTGTATGCTGCTGGTCCAATCGAATCGGACTTCGCTCGGGTCGGATGGAAGTGTTTCTATCACATTGCTGCGAGGAGCATTGGTCATGATTAAACATCCACCTGCGCCCAGTCAAAGGGGATTGCAAAATAGGAAAGCTGTGCTGAATAGCTTCAAGTGCCTACAAATCTGAATCAATCGAAATCCAATCTACATTAGACACAGCTTGAACTCCTACATCAAGCAATCTGAGACATGCAAACGTAACAAACAGAGAGGTGGAGTTTCCCCGCAGGTCTGCTGACTTGGGTTGTCAAATGCAGCTCTTGTTTTTGTTGCATTCTTTGCTCTGTCACACTTTCTTTGAAACTAAACACAGGACCGCACCCTCACTTTTCAGGAAAGCAATCTCAGTACCGGCTCTCTTTGTTCATGCTTGCATCTGCCCGCCTCTCGAGAAATGATGCATTCGCCGAATCGGTTCCTCGGGCACAACAACTCATTCTTTTGGCAGAAGAGCTCGGTCTACGGCTGTACTTGGAATTGGAACCTCCTGAGATATTTGCTTGTTGCAATAACTTTGCATCCATGGCAGCTGTGCTGCATTTTTGACAACCAGATGGTTGTCTTTACACCAATGGAATGCCGTGTTCATCACTTTTGTGTTGAACACGACTCTCAAAGCACGGGCAGTAAAAATACAGTGGCTGTACAACATGCTCAGGCAAGCATCCCGTGTCAGCCTATGCATCAGAACTGAAAAATCTAGCTTCTGAGAGCTATTGTGCAATCCTGGATCTCAGCAAATCATTGATAGCCTTGCAAGGTGAAAGCAAGGCCGCCAACAAAGCACTTGCTGGCACGCGGCACTGATCACATAAATGGTGATGGGCTTCGCAAGATTTGAATCACGGGCAAGTATAAATCAAGCGGCAAAGCTGATTGAGATGGCGACCGGCCCCTTCACCCAATTCATGGAAAGGCCTGCACACAATTTGCATCCAGCCCTTCATCCATTGCGCATATTTTGCTGAAGCCCTGCGGACCGGACACACACAAATACACGCACAACCACACACGTATTGGCCCTTTACTGGCAGAATGAGCCGGCCATGCGGCCTATAAGAATCTAGGGCATGAAGCAAAGAAGCACCGTAGAAGCCTCCAACCCTTTCTTTTGTTGAGAACTAACTTACGCGCTTCATGCAGGCAGTGAGCAGCCGCTTTTGCCCAACACACGTGGGTTGACAGGGCGTATTGTTCGCAATATCTTCTTTTGCAGCTTCATGAACACCACGCACGCGATGCATGTTGACGAAGCTATGCCAGGATTGTAACATCACGTGGAACACACATCAAAAGCACTTTTGAAAAGCCCATGAGCCCATGCTTCAATGATCAGCCTGAGCAAAAGAGGCCAACTCTGGGGATAAAATCAAAGCACTTCTGTATGTGTACTAGAAGTGCAGCGGGGTGACAGTGTGTGGCGCATGGCTCTGTCGTCATGGCGTGGCGCAAATGCAGTATGAATGGCGCACGCAAAGGTGCAGGGGGTTGCCATCTTGATGGCGTGCTGCCAAAAATGCCACACATAAGTTTGTAAGCCTCCATTCAACAGTATCGGTGTAGCTGATTGGCTGCTATTGCTCCCAGCAAACATCATCAGCATGCAGAGTAGAGGCACATGACAGCCAACAATTGCTGATCGCAAGAGGCACCGTTAGCGAGAGCGGAGGCACACGGATCCCTCAATTACTGTGTCAGGACCTGGTGATGGGTTGCCAAAACTGGGTGAGTGCAGGGTGCATTGGGTGCATTCCGAATCAATCGCGACTTTGAATCACTTGTGAATCACTTGTGAATCAATCGCGATCTGTGTCCGCAGAGGAACCCAGCATTGCAAAATGATCGGGATGCGCTCTTGCGATGTGATTTGGGGCTTCCATCTCAATGCTACCTATACATTGCCTCAACAATGTCAGGATCCGAATTCGCTTGATGCTTGCCTTTGAAGAGTGCCAGCTTGCCCTCATGGTGAATGAGCCGCATGGAGCCGAGAACTGTCCCTTGATTGCAGGTGACTTTCCAGCAAAACCTGAACTGCTGACCCTTGCTGGTCAACACGCATAAATCAGTGGCAACCAAGTGTCGATATAGCTTTGGATGGACTTGCCTCAGTCTTTCAGGCAATACCAAGGCACCATGCACCCGCAAACACACGAGTCGTGGTCACATCATCTTGCAGCATACCGTGCAAGCAAGATTCGCTCGTCGCCTCACGATGTCCAAAGGATATGTCACACCTTTGTCAAGCAAAAAGGGCAACAACCCGGCTTCATTTGGGGCTGATTTGGGGCATCGCTAGATATGAAAAGCAAGGCAGCAATCAATTGCCAGATCTGCGGTGTACCAATCATGTCCAAAAATGATCGGTCAGGTTGAAGTACGCTCAACTGCTTTTTGGAAACATAATAGGGAGGGCATCACGCGGTTGCCCTCGCACCAGTCTGCGGTTTGGTCTTCTTCTAATCCACTGTGAGCAACATCCTGGCACACGTTCAGACCAAACTAATGTGCATGGCCATTGCCGATTCCAGCATAGCATCCAAACGAGCATCCTCGTCCTAATTCCGCTACGACCGTCCAACAGGTATTGCCGTTGTTTAATTTTTGCAAGGTCATTGATCCTTTGACACTTTCGAGCAAACTTGTTTGCGGAAATAGCGGTCGCATATCACATGCTTTGAAGGACATCTTTCTAAATTCGACTTGGACACCAAATGCAGATCAGGAACTCTGAGCCACCAGTCCAGCAAAAGCACCAGCTGTCAATCGCGTGATGGTTCCGATCTCTTGCTGTGAGCTGAGCCCCTGAACAAAGGCATGCCGCCGACACGTGCAGTTCTCATAGTATCCAATTCTGGGTCTTTCTGCACAGAAAAAACAAACACCATCTTCCAACTTGAAGTTCATTAATTGCATACCTCTGGCACTGTATTTTACAGGGCCATGTTCTTTGCTGAATTCACAATGCCTCTGGTGTGAGTCCTCGTTTGGCTTGGCAAACCAAGCCTGGGCCTCCTTGATGTGGGCTTTCAAGGTGCCGAACACGGCAAAAGAAATGCCAGAGTATGGCACTATGCCTGACGAGTGTCAGGCTTGCGCTGTCTGTCCACAGAAAATCCACTGGGCCTAGGACAATGGAATTTGGGGTTGCTTCAACTTTTGGGTTTCCCGTGGGATCCCAGACCTGGGCCTCACCAGAACTGCCAGTCAAGAGAGAAAACTCATATCATCGCCTCCACCTTTGCCTTTACCATGATGCGGTCTAAGGCAGGAGGTGAAGCAGTCGAGAGGTGGATGGTTCTCTTCTTTGTGCAGCACTCATATAAGTCCTCTCTCTTCTGTCTTCACACGTTGCTGCCAACACAATTCAAAATCTGATGATGGGTGCATACTGAATACTGTGGTGCCTGATTTACCGGTTGGTTGTATCTTCCCTCTCAGGCAATTGTTCTATCAGTTTTCCCCATTTTATGTCTTCTCGCGCAGACCAATGAAAGGAAATGGGGAGTGGAGGAGAGAGGAAGAATGGAAAGATAGCACCAGCCAGTTGATGGCTGGTGAACGCGAGACGCAAAGAGACAGGTGAGGGCTTTGCAGATTGCGGCATGCGGCAGCGTTTGAGCCGGCTTGGATAATTTTGGCAATGCGATCAGGGTCCAGGGTTGCAAGACTGGTGCGCAGCTTCACAAAGCTGGTGTTGAGATTTGAGAAAGTGGTGGTGTTTCTTGCGCAATTTGGCAAATCGTGAGCGGATTTTCGGAAACTTAGCGCAACTTTGGGTGGTGGAAATAAGTGTGGCCTGGCCGAATTGAGGTTGCAGGCCATCACATGTTGAATTCTTAAACAACATCCTAAAGTTAGCCTCAACTTACCTAAGCCAAGCCTGAATCGACCCGTGGCAGAGACCAGAAACCCAACCACATCCAACCCCAAGCGTTGAGTAATTCCACCTGCACAGTGCTTTAATACTGTTGCTGACCTACAGGCTCGATATTGTATAAGCAGTAATGTTGCAGGTTGAAAACGAAATTGGAAACGGAACAATGAGGCTAATTCCTGTCATCCTTGCCTTCACAACTTTGACTGGCTGTGAGCGAGAAGATGCGAGAAGGTAAAGGGTGAGAAGGGAACCGTGCTGCTTCGCAACCCAGAAATTTGCGAACCCCTTGTTGAAAAAGTGAGGTGCATGGGAAGGGTGGCTGTCTACAGTTGCCCAGCAAAACCAGCGCAGGCGAAACAATTAGATTCGATTAAAGGGGTTCAATTACAGTCGCCCAGGTTTCACATTTTCTTCTTTGTGCCTTACTGAACTTTGAGTGGCTTGCGCCAGCTGGCTTAAGCGTAATTGTGCAAGGGCTGCCCCCCGTCCAAAAAAACAAAAGAACATATATTATCAGTAGTATTGCTAATAATATGGGTGTTATTACTATTATTGCTTCCTCCTTTTTCAATATTACTACTACTATTGCAATTTTTCTTTCATCATCAGTTCACATTTTTATTGTGATGTATGATCTCCGCCGACATTGCTCGGCGTGTCGGACACCTAAGAGAGGATAGAGGATAACCCCCCCCTATAACCCCCCCCGCCCGACGTCTGATACGTGGGGTGCAGGGGGGGGGGTGCCTTGGACGCTTGGCGACCATTCGGCGAATGACGTGTTTTGCCTGGTGGTACTGTCGCACGGTCGTAGGCATCGAACGATAAGCCCCCAGCGGATCTTGCCGTTGATTGGGCACTGATCAGACGGCTGGGACGCATCAGACGAATCGGACCGGACTCATCGGTCTGCTGGGACAGAGCGGACAGACCGGATAGACCTCACGGAGCTGCACAGATCGAACGGATCGGACTGATCGGACGGATCGGGCGCGCGAGCCATCTGAGATATTGGACCCGTCTGTTCTACTATTCTACTTGTCCGATTTCGTCTGCAGCGGATTTGTCACTGTGCCGGATTGAACTGAACCTCCTTATTGGGTTGTTCGTGCAGGTCGGACTGAGCGGACGGATCGGACTGATCGGACGGATCGGACGGATCGCACCTCTCGCACTCACAGACTGATCGGAAAGGACAGGGGCTGAGCCGGACGGATCGGAGAGCACGACTCAGTTTGAGCAGACTGATCGGACAGATCGACAGGTAGAGCTGATGGCTCACGCGCAGCCGGACGGATCGCACGGACGGATTGGACGGAGCCAAGATTTCGGCAGTTCATGCCCAAAGGAGACTTACGCGTGGCGGACATGGCGGCGGCGGGCGGGGGCGCTGATCGCACCGATCTGGCAGATCGGACTTGGGCGGATCAGGCTGGGCGCGGCTTGGATGGAGCGGACAGGGCTCGGACGGCTCGCATTGATCGGAGATGAAACTGTCCACGGACGGATTGGGCGGCGCGAAAATTCCAGGCAGGTGGCTCCAGGAAGTCTGTCTGGCATGCCGTCATGCGGAGTCGCCTTTGCCAGCGGGGGATGTTGGTGATGTTCGTCTGTGGTTGGTTTCAAAGAGCCCCTGCCAATCATTCTAATCGGACTGGATGGATCGGACTGATCAGACTGATCGGACAGATCGGACAGGGACGGTCTCGGGCAGGTAGATGTTGGCTGTGGGGGTGGCTCATTTACCGCGGATGCTTGTCCAGCGGCTGATTGGAGCAGATCAGAGAAAGAGTTGTTGGAATTATTATGTTCCGCCGGGACTCTTTGGGCATGAGCCGCCTGCCGAAATCTTCGCTCCGTCCAATCCGTCCGAGTCCGATCGATCCGCCCGAGCCCCGTTGGATCTGTCCGGCTGTGCACCAGCCATCTGAGTTGGACCCGCGCTTTCGATTTGTCCGATTCCGTCCCTGCAGCGGATTTGTCGCTGTGGCGGATTGAAATTAACGTCTTTATTGGATTGTTCGTGCAGATCGGACTGCTCGGACGGAGTCGCACAGATCGGACGGATCGGACGGACTGATCGGACGGATCGGACTGCTCGGACGGAGTCGACAGATCCGACGGATCGGACGGAGTCGGACTGATCGAACAGATCGGACGGATTGGAGCAGATCGGTCGGATCGGACGGATCGGACTGAGCAGACTGATCGGACAGATCGAACAGGGACGGAGTCGGACAGATCGGATCGGACGCGTCGGACTGAGCAGACCGATCGGACAGGGACGGAATCGGACAAGTAGAACGGATGGCTCACGCACAGCCAGACGGATCGCACGAGGCTCGGGCGGATCGATCCCAGAGAGCCCAAAACGCCTTAAATAAGAAAGACACTTTAAATAAGCAATAATTATCTTAAAAAACATTGCTTATTTAATGCGTTTTCCACCTTATTTAAGCAATGCTTTTTCAGAAAACATTGCTTAACTTTTCTGGCTTCAGTGCTGCATGTGCAGAACATGGGTCCTGCAGGAGTCATGTTTGTGTTAACAAGTTTTTGCTCAAGCTGCCCTTAGCTGGCAATACTTTGAAATAACGGAGGCATGGGAAAGCACTAAGTCACTATTCTCAGGAGAGAAGTTATCCATGACATTCTGCTTAAGCAATCAGCTTTTGCAAACATCCTCAAGCAAGCTCCAATTGTGGGACCTTGTTCTGGGCACAGAATTTGGCCAGAACATTTCCAGAAAGAGATAAAAGTGTATTGACACCTCTTCTTCTTTTGGAATATGCGGATGTGATCATTGAGATGATCCTTCTCACCCCTCGCCCCACCCAGAAATGGATTGCCGAAGGTGCCTTGGCTAGCCTACAAGGATGCCGACCTGGGGATGCTAAAGCATTTGGCCAAAGACTGGCCTCAGCTGCAGCAATGGCAAGAAAATGGGCAATGGTATGAAAAGAGTCATTCAATGCATCAACAAGACATTGAAGCCACTTACCAATGGAAAGTTCCTACAAAGGATCCCTGAAAAGAGAATCTTGGCATAAACTGTTGTGTTGCTTCTGGCATGTAACTTCAAAGGCGCACAAACAGAAGGGAGGTAGAGACACTGCTCAGGAAAGATCAGATGCCAGCAGGTCCTCTTTTCACAGCAAGAAGTCAAAGGTTGATGCTTGACATGCATTAGAAAACGTGGTTACCTTATCTGAAAAGGCTGGAGATGTATACCAGCAAGCCCAGGAGAGTATGGATAAGGCTGTGGGCAAGAACAATGGACAAAGTACAAGTACTGGTGACAACAAGTGACCAAGTAGAATCCCCTGTTTCCATAGAATCTTCCAGGGAATCTGTTGAGGCCAATGCAGCCTCATCAAACACACTTCCCACCATGCATCAGCCTGAAGAGGTAAAGCATTGGTTTGATGGTGCATGCCCTGGGAAAATAAGACAAATAGAGGTTGCTACCATGACCTTGCGGGTTCAAGGGTTCTTGGTGGCCCAATTTGCAACAAGGGAACCCATTGAAACAGAGGTTCCCAATGTTGCCTTGGCTTTTTCTGCTGTTAAGCAATTGTGAAAAAACCAGCAGCCAAAAAGAGCCTTAAGAGGCCTGCTGCAGCAACTCTGACCCAGGTGATGGCCTGAGCGAAGATCAAGCACTGGGCCTTATGACCACATTGATGGCAAAGGCACATGCTAGAAGCATCATGGGTAGTGGGAAGGGCAGCAGGAGCAGCCCCTATGACGCCGCAAAGGGCCGGGGCAAGAACAAGAGCAAGACAGAGAACAAAGGCAGACAAAGAACAAGGGCAAGGGTGACAGGAAAGGCGAGGGCCTGGCCGCCAGAGGGATCCAGCCACCAAGTGAGGGAGGGAGAGTTTACACCGCCCTGATATATGTCTGGTACTTTCTGTATGTACAGGACCAAAGGCTATGGCTCTGCCCTTGTGGCACCCAATACGGGCGCCACCCCTTATGCATGTGCCACGCCATGAGGTGGCGCAGGAGCTGGGGAATGACCATCAGGTCTGACTGGGGTTATGCCCATTAAAAGGATAACACACTTGATTGAAATACTTTCCAGCCTGAGTGGGCCCACATGCTAGCTCAGGATTCATGAGGAAACAAGAAAGATCAACACCAGCTTGAAAAGATGCTTTGAAAGCTGCTGCCAAGAGGTTGAAAAACCGGCTG